GTGCCCTAGAGACTTTGTGGGCACGGCGGAAGGCGGTGTTCCGGGTTAGAACTAATCCCACAGGCTGGAGAGGCATGTGAGACGGCGACTTGGGACCCCGCTAGTCTGGGTCAGGGCACAGGTGTGGTCACCCTACGAAGGCTTAAAGACTTCGGTGACGTGGCCAAGCTCGTAAGAGACGATTCCACCGCAGGCGGTGCGCGGCCGGCAAGTCGGGCGTGCCCCCGGCCGAGGAGGGCGAAGCGCGATCGCCGACTGCAGAGAGAAACATGGCGGCAGCTCGTCCACCCCTCCCCTTCACCCCCTCTCGTCCCTCTCACCCCGCTCCCTCCCCGACCCCACCGCTCCCCCTCCCACCCCGTCTCACGCATCCTCCCAGAACGAGTCCCCCCTCCCCACACTATATCGTCCGCCCCACGTTCCCGTCTCCAGCATATACGTCACTACACACGTCCTCCCTGGCCCTCCCCCCCACTCACCTCCCTGCCTCACTCATCCCTACCCCACGGCCTCCTGCCCGCGCCTCCCATACATTTCACCACATTCCCCGCACAGTAGCCGCGTCTTTGGCATTACTCCCGGTGTCCTCGCTAGTACCCCTCGTCCCCCCCCCTCTACCTCCGACCCCGCATCCCGCCCCTTCGCTTTTTGCCTGTACTTACCTTACCCCCTCGTTCTCTTCAGTCGCACCCCGCTACTGCTACCCCCCGCTCTTCGCTACTCTCCGGCTGTGGCTGGTCCCTACCTGCCCCTGTCCATCACACACTCTCCAGCTCGTGCTCTCTGCGCTCCGTGCTCATCTCTCTTCGGCCGCGTCTCGTTAGTCGCAACGTGACTCGTTCTACTGTCGGTAACACCCAGTAGACCAGCCTCGACAGTTTTGCATCAGTTGCTCCCGATTTCCACCTTTGTGCTCCCTGACACTCCGTTCACCTCCGACCCAACTTTCTCCCCTCCCGATTCATACCCATCACGGCTCGCTCCCCTCACGTTCCCCCACCATCGCCTCACCCTTTCCTTTCTCTCCCCCCCACCCCCTGTATTTTAAGCAACAAAAACAAACCACAGTGTCTGGAGGTACATACGTACATAATTCAAACAAACCTTTTGTATGTTAGCGGCCGAAGTCTGTTTCAATTGGAAGAGTTTCCAGTATAAGACCGACACACATCTCATACTATGTGGGAACAGAATAAGAAACACTTTGAAAAAAGAGCTGTCCTGGGTGTAGTTGACTTGTTTGCCTGTTGAGACATACTAGTGCGCCGAGGGTTAAAAACACCATCGTGCATGTGCACCGAGGGTTAAAAACGCCATCATGGATGCGCGCCGAGGGTTAAAAACCCCATCATGCTAGTGCGCCGAGGGTTAAAAACACCATCATGCATGTGTGCCGAGGGTTAAAACCACCATCATGCATGTGTAATGCGTTTGATTAGCAAACCTAACCGCAAAATATCCCAATTTACCTCCAAAACACACACACGGTGGTCATCAGCAATAACCGAAATCCTACGATGCCCTTTTGAAATAACGGCTTCAAACCGCGAAAAATGTACACAGACACCTAGTTTGGCATTGTGTGTACTATATATAGTGACGTATGTACTCAGTAGGGGGCCAAATTGGATGTTATGATGCTAGGTCTCAGTTACATAACAAGGAAGGGATGGGATGGTACTATTCACATGGCTTAATTATCATATTATATAGAGTTGTAATTAGGTTACATACATACGTACATACATACCATAGGGCAACCAGTTGTTTGCAGTCGCTCGCCCAGGACCTGCAATACCTGGTGAGCAAGAACGAGAGGGAGGGGGAGAGTGAATATGGAAGAAAGGACAGCAAGAGAAATGAAAGAGAGAGGGGACAAGTCAGAAGTGTATCTTTCAAGATCAGTTGAAACTGGTTTCGAAGAATGTAAACATGGATTGGAGTGTAGAAGGACTCACTTCATGAGAGTGATGGTGTCCATATAGAGACGAAATGGACTTCTAGTTTGGGCACCATCCCAGGACTGAGCTTCTCTCTAGAGGGTGGGAGAGAGAGGAGAGAGAGAGAGAGAGAGAGAGAGAAGAGGAGGAAGAAAAGAGAGGGAGAATGAGGAGAGAGAGAGATAAAGGGGGAGAGGGAAAGAGGGGAGATGAAAGAAGTGAAAGGTATAGATTAAACCCAGCAAACCTCGATTGCGTCTCCATGCCTCATGAAGTAGGCAACTGACTCCAGGTAGGCCTTGGCTTTGTCTATTCCTGGAGGCTGCAGAGAGACAGAGAGAGAGAGCCTGTTAAACAAGAAGCTGGAAAAGAAGAGAGAGGTTTTGAAGCTAGACTGTTGGCTAACTAAGTGGCAGGGAGAGAGAAGAGCGACCTGAGCCTGCTATAACCTAATAAGGCTCTTTCCAAATGCTGCATAATTATAGAAGCCATTGTTTGAGGGTAAAGCGCCTAACCCACAGGTAACAATTGAGTAAGCATTCTGAGTGAGCTAAGTGACATGTCGCCTGAACAGTACACCTGACTTGACCCTGTCGGAGAACCCAAGTTACGTAACATTACAACACAGTCGGCTCATCTCCATTTAAAATTGGATTTACGGGTGATGTTTTCCCCGTCAAATTAGTGAAAGAACGAATGGAACTTGGCCTGTGGCCCCGCTGTTATTCTTCCACCTTATACCGAACCACACGGGTAGCCTTTTTTTTGCTGTGAAGCAATTCTGCTAAAAATGAAAAAGAGGTGCATCAGACGACCACCACAAAAGAAACGAGATAAGCCATGCAAATTAGATGGACGTGAAATCACTTCCCTTACAGCTGCTTCATCCCAGGGGATGCAAGTGGGTTGCCTAGCGCTCCTAGCCACAATAAGCTGAAGCGGTGCCTTAGAAGGGGGCAGTGAACAGGGCAAGGCTAGCTGACAAAGGGATGGGCCCAAGGCACGCTGAGAACGCAAGGAATTTTCCAGATAAGAGAACACCTGCCAGCCTATTACGCGGTTCTATTGAACAGTCCACATTACAGGGATTGTGCATTAAGAACATCATGCGGCTGTTGTTTGAGGGTAGGGGGGCAAAAACGATTGAAATTTGAGCACCGTGGCGGATGTGATTCTGAGGTTCCTATACTCTGTTGCAAGGTGGGCAGGGGCTACTCTGGTCACTGCTGGACCTGTTTTCAGCGTCAGTGAACAGAATAATAAATTTCTTATGTCACCCAGAACACCTTGCCAAAATCAGGACACCTGTTTGCAACCCACACACCCTCTTACCCTCTGGTCCTAAGTACGTACTGTAGTTCAACAAACAACAAACGCATTACTGCACTGACTATTAACTTGTGTAGTAAAAAAAACGTTGGCACGGCATTCAAAAAAGCTGTTGTAAACAATTTAAATTTGACGCTGAAAACATACTTGCCCGTTCAAAAATGTGATCACTCTCTCTCGTATAATAATAACACTTTATTTTGCCAGTTTGTTACATCACAGTTGTTCAATATTAGGCAAGAAAGTGGCCGGGTTGCCACGCCCTCCTTTTCCTCTCTAAATCGGTTTCTTTCTTGCAAGCTAAGCGGTTTACATCGAGTGCCATTCATCCCATAGTTGCCTATTGGCAAGCAAAGCACGCTTTCTCAGATTTCCCTGTTTTATCCATAGTCGCTACAGCAAACATGCAGTGAGATCACACATACGCACACACACACCTCAGCCCGTGTTCTACCTGGCCCGCCAAAAATGATCAACCACATTACGATACGGACCGCTGTTAGTGTCATGACTCCACTTGACTCGATTTTACATCTAAACTGTATCATAGACTCACTAATGTTTAAGGGCTAAATGTAGAAAAATAATCTTTTTTGCAGAAACAGTAATGAAGACGTGGAGTGAAAAATAACTGACCCTTGTTCGGTCTGCTTCGTGCTTTCTCTTGCGTGCCTCTCTTAAACATTCCTCAGCACTCAGATTCCTATATAGGTGAGAGGGAGGAGGAGGAGAGGTGAGAGGTGAGAGGGAGGAAGAGGAGGAGAAGGGAGAGAGGGAAGAGGGAGGAGGAGAGGGGAGAGTAAGGAATACATGGAAGGGTATATACCAAGTAAAAGTGGACGGTTTTTCCTGGAAACGTGAAATGTCAAACACAACCAAGCATTCATGAGGACGCCATTAAGTAATACACATTATGTACCTGTACCTATTGGAGGGGTGAGATCTGCCCCTTGATCTAGTGTCATCATATGCCCCGTATTCATCCCAATCTGTAAATAATAGTACATACACTAACATAGATACCATAGAGAGAATATTTCATACTGTATATACTCAGCTGTACAGTGGAACCTCTGAACAAGGGACACTATGGGACCAACGATTCTGTCCCTTGTAGAGAGGTCGTCCCTATCTCGGAGGTCAAATAATACACTAAGGTATTAGCATGGGGTTGAAACAAGTGTCCTTTGTGGAGAGGTCGTCCTTATCTCGGAAGTCAAATAATACACTAAAGTATTAGCATGGGGTTAGCATAGATACCATAGAGAGAATATTTCATACTGTATATACTCAGCTGTACAGTGAATACGGACGACCTCTCTACAAGGGACACTTGTTTCAACCCCATGCTAATACCTTAGTGTATTATCTGACCTCCGAGATAGGGACGACCTCTCTACTAGGGACAGAATCATTGGTCCCATAGTGTCCCTTGTTCGGAGGTTCTCTGAGGATCCCTCATCAGAGGATCCCTCATCAGAGGTTCCACTGTATATTATTGTATATACACTGACTTCTATTCCTGTGATGGTGGGTGTCTCTGTCGTGAGATCGTCCAGGTCTTGCACCATGTCTTCCTCCACTCCATGACTCCCTACTGTCCCAACCACTGGAGAAGGAGAAAGAGAGAGGGGGGAGGGGAGGGGAGAAAGGGAGAGGGGGGAGGGAGAAATAGAGAGGAGGGGAGGGGAGGGAGAAGGGGAAGGAGTGAGTGAGGTCCAATCGTGAGTGATTGAGTGAAAGCACAGCTACAACGAGTCCTTATTAATCCAAACTGTCACAGGGAAAGGGCATTCGACGACAATAGTGAAAACCTGAAGCAGTGCATTTCTATGGTTCCAGCACATGTGTTCAGCAATAAGGCATTGTTTAGGTGCACTGCATAATCCAGTTGGGGCAGGTCTTTAAAAGAATGATGTCATTGTATTCAACTGTGATAAGCGGCAATGCATGAACACAATGAAGTGTTACAGTGGAGGGGAGGAAGAGATTGTTCTCACCTGCCACGGTGCGGCCTTCGGGCATCATCTCTATGGAAGTCAGTTCGACTGCAGGAGGAAGTCAGAGAGAACAACGGCTGACACAAAACAGAGAGAGGAAGGCAGCCAGTAGGGAGAAGGTGAAGGAAGAAAGATGGAAATGGTGAGGAGGGATAGTACAGAAGGAGGGAGAGGGGGAAGAAGGGAGAGGAGAGGGGGTTGCCCCTACCCATACTGCCCGTGATGATCATCATCCCGGTCCCTCTGGCGACCGTACATTCCCCTATCGTGGTCCACACCATGATGACCCCCAGGCAGTCGAGACAAGTCCTACACAAAGAGAGGAGGGAGCCAGGGTGTAAGAGGACGACGGAGAAAGAGGAGGCGTGTAAAGACCTCGTGTGTTGATGAGTCAACAGTACTCCTTCTTCGAGGCGGTTTGCTCGGAGCAGTGACGTTGTACGGTCCAACCTTCGCCTGAGGGGACAAAAGTTTCCAAACAAAGTTTACAAACACTCAACCCAGAGCAACATGTTCACACACGTACATACCTTAGGCTTCTGCTCCTTCTGAAAGTCGACTGTCTGCAGCGATATTTTGACCAACAGGCTCTCGATTCTCCCACCCTCCGTCCATTCCCCCTCCATTTCTTCCTCTTCCAACTCCCCGGCTTCCAACCCTCCCTGCTGGAGGGGGGCAACGATGGAGCCCCTGCGATTAGCAAGCAGTGGACCGCTCGCTGGAGGAAGAGAGGGAGCGTTTTGAGAGGTGATGCCAGACGTGGAGGACGACGACGTGTGACTGAGGGTAGAAGGTTGCGGGGAGGAGAGGCGGACGACAGAGTTCGAGAGACGAGATTTGGAGTCCTCGTCCGCGTCGCTGTCTTCGTCTCCAGAGCTGTCGGAGCTGCTAGAGGAGCTGTCACTGGAGACAGAGAAACTGGATAGAGAGCTGTGTCGGCGCACGCGAGGAGCCGCGGAAGTTGTCCGCGGAGTTTTGCGAGCCGGCGGGGGGAGAGGGACAAGATCGGATGCGGTAACCAAACTCGACTGTCGCTCTAACTTTCTCTTCTTCCCAGCCGTTTGGCTGGTGGCACCATCTACAGAAAGCTGGGTGGTGATTCGAGACGGAGTTACCATAGCAGTCGCCGATGTACCCGCCATTGAGACGCCGCCCGCTTGAGGTTGAGTTCTGCTATTGGAGGTCGAAGAGGTTAGAGCTGAGTCGGACGAAACCAGATTGACTGGTCTTTCCTGTTGCGTTGGAGGGACATTCACTTCCGGGGGTGGCTTCTCACTGCCCATCTCTACGTCTGTGTTTGACTGCACATCAAGAGAACCTGGTTGCAACTCACTGACAAACGAAGCACTTGGTTCGTGCGACAATGCATCAACATCATCCATGTCCATCTCAGCGTTTTCGGCGCCAGCTTGCAGTCGCGAGAGAAAATGAAAATCTTCGTCGTTGAAGAAGCCCCCTCCCTGAAACGAGAAGCTGTCGTCGCCGCTGAAAAACGCAGTCGATGAGACACTGCTGCCAACTGATGACTTGGGGACCGCTGCTACTGTTTCGAGTAGCGGATGCTGACTGGTTGGGTTGATCTTCTCCTCTCCCTCGTCACCAGAGGACGAGGAACCGTCACTGTCTTCTTCGCCGTCGCTGGATTCGTCGTCTGATTCGCTCCCCGACTCACCACCCGCTCCTTCTCCGTCTGATTCAGAGCCCGAAGCCTCGCCCACTGCCGCAGTCTCTAACGAAGTGGCAAAGACAGGGGCAGATGAAGAAGTGAGGGAAGCAACTCCGGAAAATCCGAGACTGTCTGTGTGGGCTTCCAGAAGAGTTGTCTTCATCTCACCAGATGCCCGGCTGTAGACAGGAACCCCACCACTTGTAACATTAGCAGAACTGCCCAGGAAATCCAGAGAGTGTGAGGATGAAGGATTTTCTGCTTCGGAAGATGTCTGAGTTCCGCCGAGCAAATTTGCACCAAGGACGAACCCCCCAAAACCACTGAACGAGGACACGGGAGGTTTGGGAGGTGAGGAGGAGGAACAGGAGGAGAGGATGGAGGTGAAGGAGGGTTGGGAGTGGGCGGGAGAGTCTGGTGCTAGCGGGGAGATGGTGGGGAGGTGAAAACTGGCAGGGATGACTGAAGAAAGTTGTGGGGTCTTGGCTACAAAGTGTGGCGGTGTCTTCTTCAGTGGAGTTATACTATCACATACAGTCGGCAGCACCTAACAAATTCAATACATCCACACTATTTAAACTGTACTGTATGCAGTGCAGAGGGAGTAACTTATCGCTATAGCAACGCAAAATTGGTGCATACGGTACATAAACACACATAGGCACAGAAAAAGTAGAACCCACTGCACACAAAAGACCAATAAGTTTAAAATTTCCTTTCTATTTAAACGAAATGTGGCATGTACAACTAACCTTCTCCCATCCTACTTCCTCCATGGGCAAAGGAGCTTCAGGCAACATCCCCTCCATTTTCTCTTGCCCCTGTTCGTTATCTTCTTCGTCACAGTCAGATGATTCACTGGACGACTCTGAGCTACTGCTGTCACTGCTGTCACTCTCACTCATTTGGTGGGCGGGGCTAATGGGCGGAGCTTCAGTAACACTGAAGGAAGGAGTAAATACGTGGAATTAAAGGGAATGTGGCAGTATAATTAAATTGTTACTAAAAATGGAAACCTAATTGCATTCTTGCACTGGGCCCCATTGTTTAGTTCTATCTTTAGTAACATTTCTAAATTTATCCCTTATATACTGACACATTCTCTTTAAGACAGAAACAAAAGGAAAGAGGGGGAGAGAGGAGAAGAGAAGGAGAAGAGAAGGAGAAGAGAAGGAGAAGAGAAGGAGAGGGGGAGAGAGAGGAGAAGAGAAGGAGAAGAGAGGAGAAGAGAAGGAGAGGGGGAGAGAGAGGAGAAGAGAGGAGAAGGGGAAACTTACTCTTCTAATTTTATGATGCCACTTAGAGATGGCGCTATCTGCAAAAAGAAGACAAAGTGAATCCTATTTAATATCAAATGGTATACAAACATATGATATGTTTATGTACGATTTTATTATTCTATAGGTGTGATACGTATATCCATTTTCATTACAAACAGACATCTTACGGGAAAAGTGAAGAGTTTCGATCGTCTTGGAGTAGGGATGGGAGTGATTGGAGATGGCACGGACACGTTGGATATCAGCTCCTGCACCAAACAGAGTTACACACACCATCATTAGGTTGTTGACCCACACTATAGTGTAAGTGTTTCACCTTAAGCAAACTATGTACATCTTTGATGTCCAGCGGGCTATCCTGTAAAATAATATGGAAGTTTGCTGGAATAATATACAAATAAGAGAGAATGTGTGTCACGGTATTATGTGTGTGCAGTCTTCTGCCGATATACTGTATTTTACCTCTGCCGTATTGTTTCCATAGGAACTGTGGGAAACAGAAAGACACACAACGATGACAGCAGACCTTACTGAATCTGAAAAGCCACATGCATATACACTATCACTCCCTTTTCTTCGCTCCTTTGTGCCCTACCCACTACCCATGCATACCACACACACACTTATATGTGTATTCCGTGACCATCTCCTCCCCAGATCTCCTCTTACAAACTCACTCAATGGTCAGATTGCTGGGCCGTGGTTTGCCAATCTTTTCCAGTTTTACGCCCTTTGACGGCACCCTAGTTTCCTCACCAGACAGAAGCTGTAGATTGCTAAGTGATTTCGTTGCCTCTTGTTCCAAGTTTTGCCTCTCTGTTCTATCACTGGAGTGGATTAGTTGACTCGCCGTCTTGGTGTGGTCGGAAGGTTCGGACTTTATCTCGAGGTTCTTGTCAGGGTTTTTGTGATCGATTGACTTCTGATCCAGTCGCCGCTTCCTGCCCTTTCTCCCTCTCTCTTCTCTTCTTCCTCTTTCTCTTGGCTTGCTTCTCGTCTGCTAGTGTTGGTAGGGCATTACTTGCGTTGTCTGATTTGCCAGTAGCCATTACAGAAGAAGAGGTGGAGGGGGGAGGGAGGGAGGAGGGAGGGTTATCGATAACTGTCGGATCAGTTCTGAAAGCTGTTGCCTCTGTCGAGGACGTAGTAGTTTTGACAGAGGAGAGGGAAGGATGCGATAGAGATGACGACAGTGAGACGAGGAATTTCCGTGTTTTTTGGCAGAGGAGGAGTGTACGGTGCTAGTGGTGCCTGTGGTGCTTGTTGACTGTTTCCTGTGCCTGTGATGAGATGATGAGGAGGAAGACGAGAGGGAAAAGGAAGATTGACAGAATTAGATTTCCGCATGGCGTGCGAGCTTCCTCGGCAGGGAGAGTGTTGCGCGGTATGCATCGTCATTCGTTAGTGGGCGTAATGTCACACCCTGTGTTGTGCGGGCAGAGGCACACGGTGGGAGTCGAGAGAGACGAATGATGGCTGTGCCGCTTCTTCAGTTTCGCCGACTTCTTCAACGAGGAAGGAGGGACGGGCGGAATCACTGTACGAGGATGTGACGAGGTCATTCCCTCCGGCCCGACGGGCGTGGCTGAGTGAGAGCCGCCACGCTCCTCCGCTCAACCCTAACAGTCCCGGCCCCTGGGAGCGATCCTGTTCGCGCTTCTTGGAGGGGGTGGCCCGTGGTGGAGACACGCCTCCCCCACTCTTGAATGGCCTCACCCGGCTCTTCTCCTTCTTCCTCACTGGCAGAACATTCGAGGGGCGCAAACCGGCGCCCTCACTCGACGGCTGACCATCTCCTTGCGGCTGCTTCGACGAAGCTTCTTGTACTTAGAAGCCGACGACTGGCGAACTCATTTTTAGCCATGCGAACTAATCTCTCGCGGGTGCGCACCATTCCGCGAGACTGTTTCCCCATTTTATCATCGATTTCCCGGGGGCCTCTGCAAATGTAGGCCGATTGGGTGATCGCGACTCTGGAGTGGAGACCCGAGAGCGAGAAAGCCAGCGACGTGAGACTGATGAGGAAGTCGCGGCTGTCAGCGACGTCGAGTGAGAGAGCTCTTTGTAGGGAGGCTGCCGGTTCAGCTGTAGTGGTAGGATGGGGAGGGAAAGAGGCCCGCCGATCGTCGACATGCGCTTATCGAACGTATTCCGGAGACGTGGAGTGGATTAGATGCTGGGGTTGCCTCGAAGGTTCCCAGCACTGAGTGTTGCTGGGATTGTGACCAAAGCAGACTTGAATATCGCCTCGTGACGACGCATCGTGACGTCCAGGATATGTCTAACTGACAGAGAGTGAGAGGAGTGAAGAGTGGGCAGTGACGATGATATATACCGCTCAAGGCCATACACATGTAACGTTGAATCAAGGGCATTGATATTCTGCCGTCTATACTAAACTGCCTACAGATTTAATAAACAAAACTTAGTGGCTGGTGTTGAAATTCCGAAACTCAGCAATGAGATTCTGCTATTATATAAATATTATCATGAATGGTTTCCTCCTACACCTCAGCATTATAATTGTCACGGAACGTACTTTTGGTCAATCGATGTCAGCGCTCATACGCTCTGACCGTCTGTCTCTGCAAGAAGGGAAAAAGTTAACTCCATTCACAATGACACAGCACTAGAATGCAGCCCAGTCAACAACGTAAAGAACAACGTGCATTGTTGCCATTGAGGTGTAACTGGAAGGGTAAGGGAATACGTACTCAAGTGAAGCCACTGCTATATGTACAATGTACATACCTGAGAGTTGGGAAGTGGTGGAGGGACAGAGGAGAGTAGGATTGACTGGGAACTGAGGGCGGCGACATAAGGAAACGGCATTTTCACACAGAGACGGTGATCTGTGTTTAGTTGTGTTTTTGGCAGACGTTAGACATGTTTATGCATGTATACGCCGCAACACAACACATGTCCTTATAGTACACGTAACCGGCATTGCTACACTACTGATTGAGCGCTGATAATCATGGAGAAATGCCTTTTTTGTGCACGCACACTGGAGTAGATACCTCGCTCTGTGGTAGGAAATTCATTTGCAGATTAAGAATGTGTAGTGTGCGACAGTAGTATTACAGGGTGGTGTACATAAAGAGTAAAAATCTGGAGTGAAAATCATGTGCAATCCGGTAAGTGCTATCGTGCATTGGTGAAAATTAACTCACAGAGTCAGCTTTAGCACTGGACCAGTCTCTCTCTCTTCTGTTTCTCCCTGCTCTCTCTTCCTGCAGGTGTTTAGGTACACGTGCATACCGTTGACAAACTTGCGTCGCATTCAATGACGTGCTAGGATACTTGCTTGACAAGGAGAGTGCATGCTTATATCTACTTCAAAGTCCATGCCCATCCCATACTAGATTCCATGTAGTATGTGGCTAAAACAGGTTAATGTTGATAGTGAGGAAGAATAGATTGCATAAAACTAATAATGGTCCCATACATCTATGATGCTAGGTATGTATGTGACTGTGTCCATCAATTATTATATTCTTATGTCCCGCCATACTTAGTGAACCATGAGTACGTTTATGATACAGTGGGAGAGCACTGATAACACAGCTGATCAAAGAGCTGCGTAGACTATTTCACCTCTGAAACCTGTACATATTATACCTTCAGAGAGTCAAAGTCCTTTGACACATCAGAAACGGTTTGTACGGCACCACCAATATAAAACCTGGCGTGGTAATGGCGCCGCCTGTATCTATGGTCATAATAGGGGACAATTTTTTAGTGTGCTGTCTTATTTTAAAAGTGAAAGTGCTTACTACTCAACGCTAGTTGTGGCATACGAGTGTCATAAAGTATATAGTGTTAGTAGGCATATTTTACACAATACTGTGTCGTAGAGCATGTGTCTCACATAAACAGCCACCGGGGCAACACATACATGATGTCCGCAGAGCCTCCATAAGTACACACAACCTGTGAGACATGGACCAATCACACCACACACATGGGGTGAAAAAGGGTTGCATGCGACAACTTGCATCACTGTACACAGTCTCATGGCCTGAGGAAACAATCATATACGTCAAAACTCACCCCAGTAGCTATATACATTATTTCGAAGAGTGATGCTGGCGCTACACAGGCAACTCGTGTCAAACACTTGCACAAACATTTCATGTACACACACAGTACACACAGTAGTACTATGGAATTCTTTAGGGTGACAAGTAGCTGTTGGGGTGATTATGATTAATAGGGTAGTGAGAAAGCAGAATGTGTCAGTGGACCAGGAGAGAGGTACTACTACAGCAGACTGGCTTACGACAGACTCTGAACACTGTCCTGTGTGTGGTAGCATGTCCGTGTGTGTGTGTGTGTGTGTGCTTCAACCAGTACACACAGCTACATTATGTACTAAACTACAAGCAGTGAAAAAACAGCATATCTCACATGCCAAGAGTAATTTCGTTGAGATATTTATTTATGTTCTGTAGTATACATACCGCCCCGCAAACAACGCTTGACCCCATCCTTGCGTTCATGTATGTTTGTGTCGTATAGTATTTCTCAAACTGCTATATATGGTCCACATGTTTTGTGTCAAAACGACGACACAAGGTAAACATGTGGGTAGTTGATTACTGGACGTTTTCCATATTGTATGGTCAGTGGTACAATTTATCCTGCTGTACTATCGCTCCTGACAGTTCGGTCATGTTTACAACACTTGCAACGAAGATGCACTACAAATACGGTCACAAGTGTTCATGCATTGGCGAGTGGGTACGTAGGAGAATGGAATTGACAGGGAACTAAGCACCATGA